CATTGGAGATAGTTAAAATCCTGGAGGTTAAACTAGTGTTAACCTCAAGTCTGCTAGGCCTAGAGATCCAGGGTAAAGTTTGGAGGCTTTCCCTGCAGAGTGAATGTCAGAGATCAGGATTAAAAGAATATTAATCAGTTACAGTGCTCAGCCCAAATCACAGAAACATCCCTCTTCTGCTACTGGGGTTACACAGCTACCCCCAAACCAGAGGACAGAAGGGGCATGGCATCGTGGATTGATGCAAACCACTTTAAGACTCCAAGCTGGGCACGGTGGCTCATGGCTGTAATCCCAGCACTTTGGGAGGAGGAGGTGGGCGGATCATGAGGTCAAGAGATTGAGACCATCTTGGCCAACATGGTGAAACCCATCTCTACTAAAAATACAAAAAAATTAGCTGGACGTGGTGGCAGATATCTGTAGTCCCAGCTACTCAGGAGGCTGAGACAGGAGAATCACTTGAACCCAGGAAGCGGAGGTTGCAGTGAACCGAGATTGCACCACTGCACTCCAGCCTGGCGACAGAGTGAGACTCTATCTCAAAAAAAAAAAAAAAGACTCCAAGTGGAGGTAAAGATAACTGAGTCAGACACAAGAAAAGTAAAGTAATTATAAGAGAAGTCAGGCCCAGATTTGGCAGTGACAGGGGAGCTCTTCTTACTCACATTCATAATTTTTCACTAGTTATGCCTAAGACCAGTGCTGTTCCTACTTCTGATACCATTCCTCTACCTTATCTGACCTGCAAGCCTATATGAGAAGGTGAGGCTGTCAGATTTCTCCTGAAACAAATGAGACAGAGCAGAGCCTGGAGAGAGAGGGTGGGGCCAGCAGTTACAAAGTCTAGGACAGGTAGTTAGACCAGATTTTTACCCAACAGGTTCTTCATGACTCAACCAGCGAGCCAGGACATTCATCATCTATATGACATATCGAGGTTACTTCCTGGTTCTATAGTCATTTGTGGGGAGACAGTACATTTTAGGACAGTCTTCTCTTTGGATCAGTAATTAGTATACGTATGATTTGAAAAATGTTTTTATTAAGCACATTAATAGCTGAGAATTAAAAAAAATAAGATAGTACATTTTCCATGGGACAGACAGGAAATTTAACTAGTATGTCTCGCTCACAATGTCCTTGGTGAGCGAGAAAGCCCAAGCAGAGACTGAGATAATCTCAGGGAAGGTTTCTTTTCTTTATTATTCTCGTCACTGGAGATCCCTGCTCTTGTATTTTTAAAACCATTTTTTGAAGTACAGCATATACATAGTGTACAAATCATACTTCAATAAATGCTTTAGTTTTAAAAATAGTATTTCTCTGATTATAAAAATAGCACATGTGCATTGTAGAAATGTAACTGCCCAATGGGTTCGCCTTGTCCGCTGTCCAGACAGAGCCCTATCAAGACGGGGAATTGTAATGGAGAAAGAGTAATTCACGTAGAGTCGGCTGTGTGGGAGACCAGAGTTTCATTGTTACTCAAACCAGTCTCCCTGAGCATTTGGGGATCAGAGGTTGGTTTTTTTTTTAGACGGAGTTTCGCTCTTATTGCCCAGGCTGGGGTGCAATGGCATGCTCTTGGCTCACCGCAACTTCTGCCTCCCAGGTTCAAGCGATTCTCCTGCTTCAGCCTCCAGCATGTGCCACCATGCCCGGCTAATTTTTCTATTTTCAGTAGAGATGGGGTTTCTCCACGTTGATCAGGTTGGTCTCGAACTCCCGACCTCAGGTGATCCGCCCGCTTCGGCCTCCCAAAGTACTGGGATTACAGGCATGAACCACCGCACCCTGCAATAAAGTTTCCCCAGGTGAGTCCTACACACATTAAACTTGGATAAGTGTTGTCTTTTATTTATTTATTTATTTATTTATTTATTTATTTATTTATTTAGAGACAGAGTCTTGCTCGGTTGCCAGGCTGGAGTGCAGTGGCATGATATCCGCTCACTGCAACCTCTGCCTCCCGGATTCAAACAATTCTCCTGCCTCAGCCTCCCGTGTAGCTGGGACTACTGGCCCATGCCACCATGCTTGGCTAATTTTTGTATTTTTAGTAGAGACGGGGTTTCAACATGTTGGCCAGGATGGTCTTGATCTCTTGACCTTGTGATCTGCCTGTCTCGGCCTTCCAAAGTGCTGAGATTACATGTGTGAGCCACCGCGCCTGGCCAAGATCAGAGTTTTTAAAGATAATTTGGTGGGTAGAGGCTTGGGAAGTGGGGAGTGCTGATTGGTCAGGTTGGAGATGGAATCATAGGGAGTTGAAGTGAATTTTTCTTGCTGTTTTCTGTTCCTGGGTGGGATGGCAGCACTGGTTGAGCCAGATTGCCGGTCTGGTTAGTCTCACCTGATCCATCGAGTGCAGGGTCTCCAAAATATCTCAAGCACTCATCTTAGGTTTTACAATAATGATATTATCCCTAGGAACAATTTGGGGAGGTTCAGACTCAGAGCCAGCGACTACATGACCCTTAAACTGTAATTTCTAATCTTGTAGTTACTTTGTTAGTCCTACAAAGACAGACTGGCCCCTAGACAGGAGAAGGTCTTTTCAGAAAGAGCTATTATCAATTTTGTTTCAGAGTCAAACCATGAACTGAATTCTTTCCGAAAGTTAACTTGGCCTATGTTTAAGAATGAACAAGGACAACTTAAAGGTTAGAAGCGAGGTAGAGTTGGTTAGGTCTGATTTCTTTCAGTGTCATAATTTTCTCAGTTATAATTTTGTAAAGGCAGTTTCAGAAATATTTGAACATATGAAAATAAAATCATTATTACCAATAATCCCACTTGTAATTTCACCACTGAGAGATACCTTTTAAAATTCTGGTGAGGAATTTTGCAACCTTTTTTAAAAGGCTATATTTAAGTATAGACATTATAAAATTGTGATTTTATAGTTCCTACTACCTTTATTATTTTTATTGTGAATATTACCACATATTCTTCCTCAATGTGACATTTAACAGCTGCATAAAATTTTGTCAAGTGATCTTACTCTACTATGGAAATATAGGGCCACAGTAGAGAGAAGCACTTAGTTGAGGAAAATGGGGTTAGAAGTAGAAAGTGTATTTGCCAATTAATTTCAGTAGATGGGGTGATGATTATAGATATTAAATTGTGCAAGCAAGTCATCTAAGAACCTATATAAGTACTGAAAAATAAACATGTGGCTGGATAATATTTCAGGTATTTACCTGCATTTTTATTCTTCTTGAACTTCTCCCTGGCCTTTCCCCCATTAAAGCTAGTGGCCAGTCTGTCCTCATTGTCACAAGAGGGAGATGTTGCATGTTAGAAAGCAGAAGTCTGCAAGACTTTCTGCTTTCTGTTTTTAAGACATGAAATTCTAGAATGGAGAGAGTGTAGACAAGATGTCTGCTTGAAATGGAAGTAAAACTTGAGAATATTGTCCCAGTTAAGTGGAAGGAAATAAATGCACAGAGAACCCTGAGGCCTGGAGCAAAGGAGGGTGGTAGTAAAACTCCAAAGGTGAAGTAGCTTCCAGCTGTGTCCAGGCAGATGATTCCTCAGCTGTCCTAAAGATGTTAAAAGTCCCCACTGACTTCATAATAGGAGAGCTGCTGTGACCAAATGCTGCACGGTTCCTGGCTTACTGAGGGCACTCAATGTGCATCCCCCCAGGGCTTCTCCTCTTCAGCAACTGAAGCTCCCTAACCTCGAAAGACTTATTCATGGAGATGGGGCATTTTATAACCTGTCTCCTTCTAGAAGTAGCTTTAAGGCTGCCTGTCACCAGGTATGGGTCTAAAAGCAGCTAGCTTCTTTCTCTTCTCTACCATTTACAGGAATTTTTGCACAGACTGACCATAAGTGTAAATTTCCAACATTTTATTCTTGTAGCTATTAGAACCAGTTACATGGCCATCCAACTGATCAGATCTTGGTGGAAAGATGGGTGTTCTCACGGGTGAACAGGGGAGAAGAACGAATGCATGGATTCCTGTTTCGGCTCATACTTCAGATTCTGAGCGTGTGGAAGAAAGGACGAACAGAAGGTCAAGTAGAGCTCTTACCTGGAACTCGCTGTTCCATGAAGTAAGTCTAAGTTAGCCATTCTCATTTACAGCAGACTTAGTGGAAAACTATTTTTTTTTTTTTTCAGTAGAAAAGAGAAGTGAGGTTTTTTAGGGGCTTTCCAGTTGGGAATTTTCAAGTCTAAACAACCATAAGGCAGTGATTCTTAGACACATGAGGATAATTCTGGGATTCTGTGGTGAAGATAGGCAGGAAGAAGGACATGTAAAATTTGGAAACCCACATACATATTTGGAAGAACAAAGATAACTACTTTTCAAATAATATGAGCTGTATAAAAGATGTGACATCTTTTAAATTCTTGTTTAATGGGGATATAAGTAAATCAAGTTTGAGAAACTGCTTTAGGCTGTAGAAAAACGTGCAAGATAGTGTAAAATACATATAAACCTAGTGTTAGCTAAATAAGGAATCAATACCAGTTTAATCAACAAAGACACAAAGCTGGAGTTTAGAGAACATCTAGCCCAATGGTTCGCAAACTACAGCTCCGTGAGTCAAATCTAGTTTAGCTGCTTGTTTTGTTTTGTTTTAAATAGCCGTCAAACAATAGTTTTTATATTTTTAAATGGTTGAAAAGAAATGGAAAGAGTTGTATTTCATAATGTGTGAAAACTATGTATAATTCAAATTTCAGTGTCCACCAATGAAGTTTTGTTGGAACACAGCCATGTATTGTTAATTGCTGCTTTCATGCTACAATGACAGTTGAGAAGTTGTAACAAACAGCATATGGCCTGCAAAGTTTTTTTCATTTAAAAATGTTCTTTTCAGAGACAGTCTCATTCTGTTGCCCAGGCTGGAGTGGAGTGGCACAATCATACCTCGCTGCAGGCTCCAACTCCTGGACTCAAGCAAGCCTGCCACCTCAGCTTGCTGAGTAGCTGGGATTACAGTGCCAGCCACTGCACCCTGCTGGCCTGCAAGGTTTTACCTGGTACTTTACAGAAAACATTTGCTGACCTCTGAGCTAGCTCACAGTTCAGGCAAGGAAATTGAAGTCCTGAAAGTTTAACTGATTTGTTCCAGCTCAGATGACTACACAGTGGTAGGTTCTTAATATTATTAATGAAATCTCTTTACTGTCTATGTATTTTTTGATATTACTCCTATGTAAGCAGTTTTACTTTCCTTTTGAACCTTTTCTAGCTCCAAAGATATTTCCTAATAGAATTTTCCAGAGTGTAACCACAAATATTTTTGGCAAACACAAGGTATGTTTTGCTTTGCTTCTAATGCACCTTTAAAGGATATTAAGCATTTAGCTGATCTTTCCAACTAAGGCACCTTGTAAACTGCCTCAAATGTCTTTATAAATTAGCTTCCAAGTCTGTTAGCATGCTGTTTATTACCATTTAAGAACTTTACATGCAATTAGGATGTATTGCCACCAAGTGGCCAATGGCACCTCTGTTATGCTTTCTCCACTGGGCTATCAGAATTATCATAGTCTCACAGGATCTAGTGGTTGGAAGGAACCTTAACTCCAGCTGCTTAACAAGGAATTGTTGCTTAAAGAGATCATTATGCTGTCTGATCAAGTGTTAGAAACAGAAAGAGCTGTTTTTTCAACATTAAGCATACATTCTTTCTTAGTCACTTTTAAAGCCAGATAGAAGCTCGCAAATACGATTTGGTGTTATCCTAAGACTTCAGTTGTTATTAATCATTGATAAAACTAACCCTGTTGTCAGGCTATGTAGCAGCTTCCTAACTCAGTCTGTTATTTCCAGTTAAGTATCCCTCAGATGTGTCTTAAAACAATCTGACATAAAAGCCCTTGCAGCTTGATTATTTCTCTTTTTATTAAAAGAGAGATGGTGCTAACTTTGCTTATAACCTATCAGGACAGGAGCCTGCTCACCTCCACAGCCTTTTTCTTAACTTCATGTAATGGCGTGTTCATGTCTTTTGCCCATTTTTATATTGGGTTTTGGGATATCGCCCATCATCTATGATAGATGTTGCAAATATTTTTCTCTTAGTGATTTGTCATTTAACTTTGCCTTGGTGCTCTTGTTTGTGATGTGACAATTTTGTATTTTTATGTAGTCAAATTTATCAATAAGTATTTTCTTTTACTGAATCTGGATTTGGAGTCACAGAAAGTTAATAATTCACCATTGATTTCTTCTAGTATTTATATGGTTTAGCTTCTTCTTCTTTTCTTTTTTTTTTTGAGACAGAGCCTTGCTCTGTCGCCCAGGCCAGAGTGCAGTGGCGTGATCTCGGCTCACTGCAACCTCTGCCTCCTGGGTTCAAGTGATTCTCCAGCCTCAGCCTCCTGAGTAGCTGGGACTACAGGCACGCGCCACCACGCCTGGCTAATTTTTGTATTTGTGGTAGAGATGGGGTTTCAACATATTGGCCAGGCTGGTCTTGAACTCCTGACCTCGTGATCTGCCCGCCTCGGCCTCCCAAAGTGCTGGGATTACAGGTGTGAGCCACCGTGCCTGGCCAGCGTCATCTTTTATATTTAGATCTCTGATCTATTATGAGGTTCTTCTTCTTCTTCTTCTTTTTTTTTTTTTGAAATGGGGTCTCTCTCTGTTGTCCAGGCTGGAGTGCAGTGGAGCAATGTCAGCTCACTGCAACCTCCGTCTTCCAGGCTCAAGCAATCCTCCCACTTCAGCCTCCCAAATAACTGGGAGTACAAGGTGTGTGCTATCACACCTGACTAATTTTTGTATTTTTGTAGAGAGCGGGGGTCTCACTATGTTGCCCAGGCTGGTGTGGAACTCCCGAGCTAAAGAGATCAGTCCACCTTGGCCTCCCAAAGTGCTAGGATTACAGGCGTGAGCGACCAAGCCCAGCAGAATTTATTCTTATGTATAGTTTGAGGTGTGGATTCAATTTTATCTTTCTCAAAATGGCTGTCACGTTGTCTTCCCACCATGTATTAAATAGTCATATTTGCCCCAGTGATTTTTTTAGACGCCATATGATTTTTTCCTACCATATTTTAAATTTCCATTTATACTTAGGTTTAATTCTGGACTTTGAATTCATTTACACAGATCTGTCTATGTGTGTGCCAATATCAGACTTTCATTATGGAGCTTTTCGTTTTATTTTTAATTTAATTAAATTAATTAATTTATTTTTGAGACAGTCTTGCTCTGTTGCCCAGACTGGAGTGCAATGGCACTCACTGCAACCTCCACCTCCTGGGTTCAAGCAATTCTTCTGCTTCAGCCTCCTGAGTAGCTGGGACTACAGGTGCCCCCTACTATGCCCAGCTAATTTTTTGTATTTTTAGTGGAGACAGGGTTTCACCATGTTGGCCAGGCTGGTCTTGAACTCCTGACCTCAGGTGATCCACCTGCCTTGGCCTCCCAAAATGCTGGGATTACAGGTGTGAGCCCTCGCACCTGGCTGTAGATTTTAAAATGTGTTTTAATGTCTGGTAGTGCTACCTTTCCTTTATAGTTCTTCTTCTTTTTTTTTTCTACCCACGTGAACACTGTCCTTCTAGTTCTTTTTCAGTTTTGTTTTTTTTTTTTAAAGCTGTTCTTGCACATTTATTTTTTCACATGAACTTTAGTATCAACTTATCTAGTTTCAAAAAATCTTCTGGGTATATTTAATTGTGAATTGACTTGGGAAGAACAGACATCTTTTGGATGTGATCCTATTCAAGAACATCTTTCCATTCATTCAAGTCTAGCTTTTGGTATTTTAGGAGTGTTTCAAAATTTTCTTCATACTGATTTTGCACATTTCTTGTTAAATTTATCCCTTAGAGTTCATCTTTTTTGTTGTTATTGTCAATAGGACTTTCTCCTCTATTTTATTTTCTGACTGGTTACTGTTAGTGTACCTAAAGGCTGTTGATTTCTGGATTTCTGTTATGTTAGTTTTATATCCTGCTAACTTTAGAATTTTTTTTTTTTTTTTGAGGTGGAGTCTGCTCTGTCGCCCAGGCTGGAGTGCAGTGGCCGGATCTCAGCTCACTGCAAGCTCCGCCTCCCGGGTTTACGCCATTCTCCTGCCTCAAGACTCCCGAGTAGCTGGGACTACAGGCGCCCGCCACCTCGCCCGGCTAGATTTTTGTATTTTTTAGTAGAGACGGGGTTTCACCGGGTTAGCCAGGATGGTCTTGATCTCCTGACCTCGTGATCCGCCCGTCTCGGCCTCCCAAAGTGCTGGGATTACAGGCTTGAGCCACCGCGCCCGGCCCTTTAGAATTTTTTAATTGCTTGGTTAGTTTTACTTTGTTTCTGTAAGATTTTACAGATACATTATTATGTCATCTGTAAATTTCTAACTTTAGGACTGAGGTGTATATATTTTATTACATTAATACAAAAATACATTAATTCCTACATTCCTGAGTGCTTTTTTGACAGCAGAAATAGGCTTTGAGTTGTGTCAAAATTTTTTCAGCATTTATGGTGATCATCATACGGGTTTTCTACTTAGATCTATTAATATGGCGAATTACAGTAATTGATTTTCTAATAATGGACCATTTTTGTGTTCCTGGACTACCTCCCATTGGACATGGTGTATTATTTTCTGAATGTGGCATTGGATCCTGTTTATTAATATTTTACTTTAGGATTTTTACCTAAGGTACATACGTGATATTGTTCTGTCATTTTCTTTGTGTCACGTTTGTCAGATTTAGGAATCAGTGTTATGAATTTGGATGTTTTCTCTTCTCTAGAACAATTTATATTGGATTGAGATGATCTGGTCTTGGAAGATATGATAGAATTTTCCTTTGCAACTGATTGTGGTGCTTTTTTGTGAGTAGCTCATTGATCATTTCTTACATGGATATTACTCTGTTTAAGATCTTTAAGTCAATTTTGATAAACTGTATTTTAGTAGGAATTTGTCCATTTAATCTAACTTTTCAAATATATTTGCATAAACACGTACGAAGTAGTCAGTTAAGATTTTAAAAAATATCCTCTCTGTTTCAACGGTTATTTTCCTTTTGTCATTTATTATTTTGTTTGATTTGTTGCTTTGTTGATTTTTCAGAGACCAAGGATTTTGATTAATTAGTTCTTTTTTGTTCTTTTTAAAAATGTTCTACCTCATTAATTTTGGCTTTTAGATTTATTAGTTCTTTTCTTATCTTTTCTTTTGGTTACTTTTATTCCCCCTAACTTTCTGAGTTGTGACTTCAATTCACCTATTTTCATTCTTTAACTTTTAGTTGCTATAAGTGTTTAAGACTATGAATTCTCCTCAGATCATTTTTAAATGGATCCCGTGTATTCAAATATTTAGGTTTATAGTCTCAACATTTTCTGCAAATTCTCTCAAAATTTTTTGCAAATTCAATAATCTCAGGGAAAATGATATATATTTTTCCTTTTATCCAAAAATTGTTTAATAAAACGTTTCTTACTTTCAAGGTGGAATGGCCTTTTGGTTTTTTGATTTGGCCATTAATGACTGATTTTTATTGTTTTATGATTATCTTAAATCTCTTATAATACCTACACCCTCCTGCCTTTGTTTCCCATATTGATTTTTTGCAGAAACCAAGTTGCTTATTTTATATGATATTCCATATCCTGAATTTGGCAGGAATGAATGATGTCATTTAACTTTTTAAATAAAATAATCCATGTTTCTGTAAATTGCTATTTATACTTCCAGGCTTGAATAAATTTAGGTTGATTGTTTTAGGCAATAATACTTCATGGGCATGCTATATACTTCCCACTGCAATATGTATTAAAACATGTAATGTTGCACTTGAGTGATGTAGATATTATTCAGGGCTTTAGGTGGGTCGGCCTGATCCTCTCTTATAAAGTTCACCTTCACCCTTTATGAAATGGTTTTGGCATCAGTGTTGTAACCTTGACCCATTGCTTTATTAGGTGTAGTGGAATGGTGATTTTTCTAGTCCTGTCAAACTTTTGCTATTTGTGTTTGTTGTTATATTTATTTTTTGACAGTTTTATTGTAGTATAATCGATGTACAATACACATATTTAAAACATACAATTTAATTAGTTTTGACATACTTATATAGCCAGATAGGTTATTATGTAGTCTGTTACTAAATTCTGTATGTTAATAACTGAATTCTTATATAAAGAAGAATTTTCCATCATCAATAATTTGATTACCCTGAAATACAGTTCAAATAGCGAAAGGAAGGCTAAATGCTTACTTTTTTCTCTTAATTGATCAATGAACAAATAATATTGTCCTGAAACTTCCAATGGTGAGAATTAAGGTTTTTTTAATTTCTTTTTTTCGGAGGGTGGGGTTTAGGAGAGTGGTATTATGAACTAATGAATTTTTATATATTTAAAATGTTTCAGGCAACCTACAGAACGGGAGAAAATTTTTGCAAACTATACATCTGACAAAGGTCTTATATCTAGCATCTATAAGGAACTTCAACAAATCTATGAGAAAAAACAAATAACCTCATTAAAAAGTGGGCAAAGGACATGAACAGGCACTTTTCAAGAGACATACCTGTGGTCAACAAGCATATGAAAAAAAAGCTCAACATCACTGATCATTAGAGAAATGCAAATCAAAACCACAATGAGATACCATCTCACACCAGTAAGAATGGCTATTACTAAAAAGTCAAAAAAGTAACAGGTACAGTCATGGTTGTGGAGAAAAAGGAATGCTTATACACTGTTGATGGGAGTGTAAATTAGTTCAGCCGTTGTGGAAAACAGTATGGTAATTCCTCAAAGACCTAAAAACAGAACTACCATTTGACCCAGAAATTCCATTCCTGGGTATATCCTGAAAGGAATAGAAATCATGCTGTCATAAAGACACTTGCATGTGTATGTTTGTTGCAGCACTCTTCACAACAGCAGACACATGGAATCAACCTAAATGCTCATCAATGGTAGACTGGATAAAGAAAATATGGTACATATACCCTATGGAATACTGTGCAGCCATAAAAAGAACAAGATCATGTCCTTTGCGGGAACATGGATGGAGCCGGAGGCCATTATCTTTAGCAAAGTCATGCAGGAACAGAAAACCAAATACCACATGTTCTTACTTATAAGTGGGAGCTAAATAATGAGAACACACGGATACATAGAGGGGAATAATAGAAACTGAGGCCTATTAAAGGGTGGAGGGTGGAAGGAGGAAGAGGATCAGGAAAAATAACTAATGGGTACTAGGCTTAGTACCTGGGTGATGAAATAAACAGAACAACAAACCCCTGTGACATGAGTTTACCTACATAACAAACCTGCACATGTACTCCTGAACTTAAAAGTTAAAAAAGTTTTCAATGAATTACAATCATGGTCTCTTACTGATGCTCATATCGTTCCATCTTAGGCTTATAGAAACCCCTCAAGTTGGCTCTTACGTCTTTTTGATATAATTACAGTGGACTTTGATAGCTTCTTTGTTTTTTGGCACAATAACATATCATAGATTCAGCTTGTATATTTCCTACCACAGCCATGGAATCAATCATTTCTTGAGGAAGTCCTGGTTCCTTTTAATAGGGAATGGCATACAGAACTATGGGCTATTTTTATATTCTTAAAAAAAAACTTTCCAAAATTTTATGTTGGTTCAGTTACTAATGATGTACATTAATGACATACATTATTGGGTTAATGCTTTTAAAATAAATTGTCTAAGTTAATAGTGTTTAGTTTTGTCTTTTTTATATCAGAGCTAAATAATTGATTTCAAGTAACATTATTCTATTTTGCCTATTATCTTCACTCATATGATCTATATTTACTTACCACAAAAACTGTTAAGAAAGGGAACTGGGACCAACTAACAAGGAGGCCTGAGGACTCAGGCTTACTCTTTAGATGGCCAGAAACTTGAGCAAACAACCAGGTCTTTCTTTGTTTCTGACTCTTTGTGTACATAGGCAGGGGTAAAGGCAATGACCTGTCTTTGTGAACAGTTGGCTGCTGTGTACGTTACTTGGTCATTTGATGTTAGCAGCCTGTCAGTCTTAGCCAGAGAAGCAAAGGCAGCCAAGAGAGGACTATAAAAGGGGCCAGACAAATTAGAGACGCATCCATCTTTCAGACCCAGAAAAAGGAAGTGAGTATGAGTGGAAAAAATAGACCCTGGCCATTTCTCACTTAAGTCTTTTAAGACAAAGTTTTCTTGATGGGGTGATGGGGAAGATAAAATGTGAGCCTTAAATTGGATTAGAAACTCAAGTTTTGGCTGGGCATCGTGGCTCACACCTTGTAATCCCAGCACATTGGGAGGCCAAGGCAGACGGGGGGCAGGGAGGATTGCTTGAGTCCAGGAGTTTGAGACCAGCCTAGGAAACATGGCAAAAACTCATCTCTACTAAAAAAAAAAAAAAAAAAAAAGAAAAAGAAAAATTAGCGGGTAGTGGGGTGTCGTGGCACACCCCTGTAATCCCAGCTATTTGGGAGGTTGAATTACTTGAACTCAGGAGGCAGAGGTTGCTGTGAGCCAAGATCATGCAACTGCACTGCAGCCTGGGTGACAGAGCGAGACTCAGTCTCAAAAGCTCAAGTTTTAAACTAGACAAGACTTTTTAATAAGTGAAAATTACTAGAAAGATATATATTCTACCCAAAATTCTGGTAAGGGATGGGATGAAAGATTTGGCAAAGCCTGGTCAAAGGCAGTAACTGGAGGAAAGTAAAACTATTTGAGTTTGTAGCCCACAGTGTTCAATAAACTGGATATATTTGGTAACCATAATGGAAGAAGTCAAATTTTGTGCATCAATATAAGAAATAGAGATTCTGGAATGAAGACTTAGGTGAGATTTTTATTTATTTATTTTTGAGATGGAATCTCACTCTGTCGCCCAGGCTACAGTGCAGTGGTGCAATCTCGGCTCACTGCAACCTCCACCTCCCAGGTTCAAGCAATTCTCCTGCCTCAGCTTCCTGAGTAGCTGGGATTACAAGCACTGGCCACCACGTGCGGCTAATTTTTTTGATTTTTTTTTTTTTTTAGTAGATATGGGGTTTCACCATGTTGGCCAGTTGGGTCTTGAACTCCTGACCTCAGGTGATCTGCCCAAGTCGGCCTCCCATAGTGTTGAGATTACAGGCATGAGCCACTGCACCTGGCCTAGGTGGGATTTATTTTATTTATTTATTTTTTGAGAGGGAGTCTCCCTCTGTTGTCCAGGCTGGAGTGCAGTGGCCGGATCTCAGCTCACTGCAAGCTCCGCCTCCCGGGTTTACGCCATTCTCCTGGCTCAGGAGCCTGAGTAGCTGGGACTACAGGCGCCTGCCACCTCGCCTGGCCAGTTTTTTGTATTTTTTAGTAGCGACGGCGTAGCCAGGATGGTCTTGATCTCCTGACCTCGTGATCCGCTCATCTCGGCCTCCCAAGCTGGGATTACAGGCTTGAGCCACCGCGCCCGGCGCGCCAGGCCGGTGGGAGTTCTTTAAACTAGATGTTGACAATCTCTCCTACCCGCTCACCTCAGGCTTTTACTGCAATTCGGTTGTATTCCACCAGGTGGTAGCAGATGTCTTGGCTCTGTCATCCACAATATGATCAAATTATAATTTTCTGTATGAATTCCGTTGTAGATTTAAACTATATATTTTCAAATAAAAATTAAAAACATTAACTATTTTAATAAAAACTTTTAATTATTAAGTATTATTTTAATACTTAATATCTAATGTATTTATATTACTTATTTTAATACTTAATATCTAATATATTAATATTAAGTATTATTTTAATATAAATAGAAATCAGTATTGACTAGTCATATTTTCCAAAGTCAAAAAGGCAAAGTATATAAAAGTAGTTTTCATTCTATCTCTAGCTAATCCTGTTCTTTTCTCTGGGTTTACTAGAATGATACTGTTTAATTTTTTCTCTGATGTTCTCTTGTATGTCAGTAGGAAATGACTGGCACAGCTCTGGGACCTTAGTCAGACTTAGAAGCACAAATTTCTTGCAGTCTCCTTCTGCTACTGGTTGTAGGATGTTGGTGTTTAGGGAATAATTTTTGTGCCTGCCTTCTTTTACTTGGCAATAATTTTCTATTTATAATATTCAGAGTTTCACTTTTATCCCTTCTGTTGGCAAAATCAAGAAATGAAAATCTCAGACCTGCTCAGACTAAAAATCCCCATTCCACTAAGTAAGTCTTTCTTCAATGAGAGGGCAGTAATTTCCCACTGATTCATAGAAGAACATCACTTTTTTTCCCATGAGCTTTTTGACTGGAAACTTATCTAAACTATTTTACATAAGGTGGTAGTTATCTTGCCACAAATCTGAGTTGCTACAAATAGTTTTAGAAAGTTCTGTACAAAGGGAGCATCTTGAAGCCAAAATGTAAAGTTTCTGAGCAAAAGTTTAACAAACATTCGTAAAGAGTTTTTAAAAACAAATCCCCCAACTTTTTATTACAAAATTTCTAAACATTCAGAAACAGTGTAGCAAATACCTCTATATCACCACTCAGATTAAATAACTATGAGCATCTTGCCATGTATTTTAACATATATCTGTGTCTATTTTTTTGTATAAAACATTTAAAATTGAGTTGCAGATATTGTGACCAGTTACCTCAAAACTGTTTGGCATTCATCCCCTAAATATAAGGACATTTTGTTACATAACCACATTATCACCCCTAGGAAAACTAACAATACTTCCTCAACTTTATCTAAAAATCCGTTCAAATTCACATTTCCCAAATTTGTCTTTAATTCAAATGTTATAATTACATTTGGTTGCTATATCTCTTTAGACTTGTATATTAGAAATGCCATATATATGTGTGTGTGTGTGTGTGTGTATATATGTATAGACATAGATATAGATATTGACCTTTTGATGAGACCGGAACAGTTGCCCTATAGAATTTCAGTATTTTGGATTTGTCTGATTTTTCTCTGTAGTGTCATTTAATCCTATAATCATATTGTCAAATTAATTTTATGATAACCAATTCCTATTACCATGTGAAAGTTTTCAGAAGTTGCAGTGGTTTGAACCCACAAAATCTTGTGGTCTGAGAAAGAACTGATTCTTTCATGGTTCAGCAAGACTCGCAACCATAGAATGTCAGAGCAGAACCACCCCTGCCTCCCCCAGTGGACACATTAGAAAACTGAGGCCCAGAAAGGGCAAGTGTGATGGTGTTTGTTCTGTTGCTGTTGTAACAGATTACTGTGAATTAGTGGCTTAAAACAACACAACTTTGTTACCTTATAGTTCTGGAGGTTGGAAGTCCAAAACGGATCTCACTGGGTTAAAGGTACTGGCATTTCTTTCTAGAAAGTCTAAGGGAAAATCTGCTCCTTGCTTTTTCTAGCTTTCAGAGGCCACCTGTGTTCCTTGGCTTCTCGTCACTTCCACCATCTTCAAATCTCTCTCTGA